CTAATTCAGCCTTTTCCCTTAAGACTTTGACTTAATCTCCTATCGTTTTACTTTTCATTAACATGACTTTCCACTAATAAGACTAACTGTTGACCATCACGCCAAGCTTGTTTGTATCTTAAAGATTTTGTATTTGCTGTTCCCTCCGTCTGGAACTTTCTTCCACAGACTTCCTCATGGTTTGTCTCCTCATTTCTTCAAGCTCTTGCCTCATTATCCTATCTCCTTGACCACTGGATTGTTATGCCGTACACTGTTGTTTGACTGTTGATTGCTGTGGGTGGGTCCAGCTCACAGTGAGCAGTGCCACCCCTGGGCAGGCAGGACTGCATCATATAAGAGAGGGAGGTAAGCAAGTCGGGAAACAATCCAGTAAGTTACCCCTGTTCTAGCTCCTTCCTCCAGGCTCTTTCTTGGGCTCCACGATGGGAGAAATCTGTCACCTGGAGGCTAAAACAAATCCATTTGTTTACGGTGTGTATCACAGCAATTGGCAGGCACACCAGGACAGTCCTCTACTAAAGAAATACAGCTTTTTAATTTTTAGGAAATGTTTTTAATGGATTTTAATCTTCCTAAATGATGGAATGCCTTTAACGCGGCAGTGAGCCTGGGCCTTGTGTCTGGATGTATCCTGTCTTGAGGGAGAGTGATGAGGAGGCACAGCTTTTCTCTGAGCCACCCCAGTGAGAGCACAGCGCAAACACTGAGCTTAGTTTTATGTACCTTATGCTCTAGGTAACCGGGAGATGATTGCAGACGATGGCACTAAGAAGGATTAAGTGTGATTATTTATGAGGCATAGTTAAAAAAGAGACAGCGTCCATATGTTCTCTAACTATAGGGAATATCCTGATCTCTTCACTATCTGATGAGTAGATCCACCCGAGTAATCTATTTAACATGGGAAAACAAAAGAATAAATAGGACAAAGGGACAGGACAAACAGAGAGAGCGGAAGATTTGGACAATATTTAGTATGTCATAAGATGGTTTTATGCTCTTTTTAGCAACTGTATTTTCCCTAACAGCCAGAAAAATCTCCAGGATTACAAGCTGGGATTTGTGAAGGAGACAGGAACATTTCAGGTCAGCTGAATTTCCCAATCTCTCTTTAGTTTGGATGATAAAAACAAAACATTGCTTTCCCTGGGTTAATATAGTTTCATTTTGGATGTATTTTTTCTCAAATAAATGCCCTCAGAATGCTTGTCTGACTGTCTAGTTTATGACCTGTAACATATGGCTAAAATGAATTATGCAGAGGGCTGAACTCTTTGACTGCCAATGACTGCTTAGTTTTGAGACTTTCCACAGTAGAGATTTCTGTGTTGGTCCTGTGAGCTTGAAGAGGATGCTCTTGGGACTCCACTATGTGATCTCCAGGTGCCCCTCAGGGGAGGATGATCCTGTATTTCTCGTAGTGGAAGGTTACAGGGAGGTCATCTGGATGCCTTTGCCTCCTGACTTTGCTTACTACTCTGGGGCTCTTCTAGCTGTTCATTGTGTGCGCCCTGCGGTTAGAGCATAGCTATGGTGGCAGGTTTCTTTCTTGACTCCCATTGAGGAGGAAGTTCGTCAGAAAGTGCTTGCTTCTCAGAGTTTGCATAGCAGGAGACAAGGAAAGAGCAGAATGACAAACAGTGGCTACTGTCTTATGCAAAGCTACTTGCTCTGAAGAAACGCTGTGGAAGTACAACTTACGGAACTCCTTTACAAGAAATGCCTTCTAGGTCTACACATTACTTCCATCTTTGCCCCCCTTCCCCTCCATGAAGCTCTGGTGTTTAAGATCATGAGAAAAAACAGAGATAAACAAAAAAAAATGAGCATGTCTTCAGCAGTATGTTCTCTAAGTCTCCTTTCCACATCTCTTGATCTTTCCTCTATGTACCCTACTCACCATGACTCCTCTTACAGTCCCCAAGAGTTCCTGTTTCCCAGAGTCACTGTTTGGTTTACATGCCTTAATGAAGATTGTTAGAGAGGACAGTCAATTTTAATTGTTCACATGGTAGAGGGTACACGGGTAAAGCGGTAAGCAGCTTGGACTGCACATGACCATGTGTGTGTGCGTGCAGCAGCTGTCCCTCTCTCTCTCTCTCTCTCTCTCTCTCTCTCTCTCTCTCTCTCTCACACACACACACACACACACACACACACACACACACACCTTGGTACGTATTGACCATTGACCTCATTTTGGGATTATTCTTATTCTATTAGTCTCCATGACACAGCAGTGGGAGATTTCCACCCGTGTCTTATTTCCAACGGCATGACTTCAATTTCTAACTTTGTGTTCCCAGAGGCCTGATAGTTCAGAACATAAACACCCCCTAAAGCATCCCCTACTGAGGGACGGGAATTAGTGCTTCGGTAACCTAGGTCTTCTGCTTACCTGTTGGCACAAATCAATTCAGCATAGTCTTCTTAAGACTCCCCAGGAGGACTGAGCTACAGTTGCCACCGAAAGTGACATGATGGATGGGCCACTTGGTGGTGGTGGTGGTGGGGGGGGAGTGTGTCTTCCCTTCCCTGTTTCACTTTCCTATTCTTTTTCTGGTATTTTCTGTAAGTACTCTGTGATAAACAACTCTCAGGACATGCTTCTGGAAAAACCTACACTGCAGTAATTATTCAATCAGTTTGTAGATTAGATTGTAACCTTCCAGTCGATTGTCTTGGTGCTTAAAAGTCTTGGATCTTGGAAGAAGGCAGACGGTGGTGGTACATGCCTTTAATCCCAGCACTTGGGAGGCAGAGGCAGGCAGAGCTCTGTGAGTTCGAGGCCAGCCTGGTCTATAAGAGCTAGTTCCAGGACAGGCCCCAAAGCTACAGAGAAACCCTGTCTTGAACCCCCCACCCCCCAATAAAAGAAGTCTTGGATCAAAAAACCAGATCCAAAGATACAAGCTCCAAGACCATGTCTTGGTGTTCTTGTTGTTCTTTATATTGCTAAAGGTGACAGCTCACCCAGAAACCCAGAAACATTCACAGCCAAATGTTTATATTCATATAGCTATGTTAATAAGCTGTTTGCCAATGCTATAACCATTAGTATACACAATGTCATATCTTAAATGTATTGATATTCATCTTTAAGTAGTACTGCAGACTGGTACTTCCTTGGGAGGGGTTTAAGTGTTATGGTTCCTGGCTTCCTATGGCCCAGGGATTTTATTCCACATTTAGTTTGGCACTCTGCTACACAGTAGACACGGGTGGTGACATCTCTCATGCTGATGAGCTAGAGCAGAGCTGGGACTGGGGAGCCAACTCTATGCTCACGAAAGCTAAAAAGAATTGTTATATTATAGGAAATAACCCTAAGCTGACAGAAGCCTGTGTGAGGAAGCCTAGAGAAAGTTTTAATCCCTATGTACAGGATTAGCTCTGCGTAATATTGATTCGCATTCTTGCTGTTTTAACTGTTATTCTTTTCGTGTTTCACCGTCATTCCTAGTTTGCCTAGGGTCTCAGTGTTAATGGGTGTATTTGACGACCATCCTGTGTGGCATTCTCCCAAAGTAGTTTCCAAGGACATCAGTATTTCTTACCAGGATGCTTTACGCACACCTTGCTACTCTGCAAGTCCAAACTTCTGAGACTCGCACAACCTCCTGCTAGTCATGAAAGAACGGCAAGGGGAAGGGTGCTGTGCCACAGAAAACAGCGACATATCATTACTGCTCCTTGTTTAGAAACATTAAAGACTAGCAAATATCTTTCTTTTCTCATACTCAGATCTGGGAGAGAATGGAAGAAAGAGAAAGGGGCATTTCTCTTTCTTTCTTTCTTTCTTTTTTTCTTTTTTTAGATTTTTGAGACAGGGTTTCTCTGTAGCTTTGGAGAGCCTGTCCTGGAACTAGCTTTTGTAGACCAAGCTGGCCTCGAATTCACAGAGATCTGTCTGCCTCTGCCTCCCAAGTGCTGGGATTAAAGGTATGCGCCACCACTGCCTGGTGGAAGGAGCATTTCTAAGAAGAAGGAAAGAAGATTGTACTCCCTGCTAAGGAGCTGCATGATCATGTGGCAACCATATAGTCACTCCACAATATGCAACTGCATTCATTGGGAAATTAAGTTGTTTCTCTCATCCATTATTAGACCCGGAATATGTTTAGGTTTAGAATCGGCTAAGTCAACGATTTCTCCGCCATTCATGCGGCATCTGGTAAAGAATACACTGAGGAAATGACTGAATAAAAATGAAAAAGAGCAGGCATAAAAGACCCGTGGTGATCAGAGATGAGTTGAATGGATATGAGCGAGAGGTAGAAGAGAAGGTCATATCTAGATATCACTCAATTATTCAAAACTTATTTACTATGTTTGACTCGTTGTGTCGTTCCCCTAGGTGTAAGAAATACGACAGCCAAATAAAAATCTACTTCTTCAAGTATCCTGGTGGAGCAGTAAGACAATAAATGGCACCAATAAGTAACTTGCAGTGTTCGCTGGTGAGAGCCTAGTTGAAAATATTGCAAGGGCGGAGGATTAAGACGGGGGAAAGGCATGGGAAGGTTGTGCTGTGATTTTGACAGGATGTCAGGGGAGGACAAAGGGAGCAGTATGATGGATCAAGTAGGGCTTTGGGGGCCTCGGGAATGTGTTCTGGGAGAAATACAAAAGTCTTAAGCAAACAAGAAGGAGCCAAGGTGGGGGAAAGGAGACGCAGCACCGTTAGATCAGCTCTGAAAGGAAAGAAAGCAAACGTACAGGGCAGGCTTTCATTTCAAGAGAAAAATAATCATGTTTCTTTTTCTCATTTGGAAAAAGCCAAAGATTGTGTGATTTATGACAAAAATCTCCTTTCAAAAGGGAGTGTCACCTTAGACAATCTACTCCAAGACTCGGCGTCACTGCCCTTTGGCTTCCGATTGGCAGGTCGTAAGCTCGTGCTCCTCATCGATTGGTCCCCGCTCCTGTCTCCAGGCGGGAAGCCATATTGGATCCCGCCCCTGCCGCGGGGCGCTGTGGGGATTGTAGTCCGTCCCGTTTGGCCCCGCAGCCGAATCGTTCCCCCCCTCAGCTTCCCGGTCCACCCCAGTGGGCACCCACTCAGGCGGCGCTCCCGCCCTCTGCCTTTCATTCCAGCCGCCAAGATCTTGGAAGGTAGGGGCCCGGGAAGCGAGCCCAAGTGGAAGAGAACGTGGGGCGCGGGCTGGGTTCCCACGCGCGTACCTCTGCGGCCGGCGGGGCGGGGCCAGGCCAGCACCTGCAAGACCCTCGGGGTAAACTGAGGCACGGGGTCGCGCCAGCGAGTTCTCGAGGTGTAGTTGGCTAATAGTTTGTCAGTCCCGTAGACAAGTGTCAGTACCGTAGAAAAGTGTCAGGGACCTCAGACCCAAACAGGTCTGGGTTAAACAGATAACCTAGCTTTAGAGTCCCCAAAGGTCTGAACCGGTGCCAGGGCAGCAGCAGAGCCGGGCACACCGAGCACAAAGTTTCGGGAAAGAATTTGCCTTTGATAAGTGTGTAAGCAAAATAAAGAAAAGCCGACAAACTCCCATCCGTTCCCCGTGGCGCGAGAACGCGTCACTCGTCGGACCTTAACAGGTTCGTGCATTTTAATTTGGGTTTCACACGCGGGGACCTGGAAGCTGTAAACGTAGGTAGAAGGAAGGAGGCGGGTTTGTCTCTGCCCTGGGACTCTGGACCACCCGCCCAGCGGTCCTCACGTGGATAAAAATCAGCTCCCTGCTCTAGTGGCCCAGAGAAGCTGCCTAGAGCTGTAGTCGACCTTGAGGCCAGGCTTGCGAAAGTTTGTCATTGGAAAAGGGCTTATTTTCGGTCTTTCAGAATTGTGCTGAAAATACCCCGTGGTTGTTTCGGGCATAACTAGGGCGAGGCCTGGACTGCCAGGTGCAGCTCAGCTCAAACCTGTGCTTAAGCGGATTGCAACTGAAAGCTCTTTTTTTTTTTTCTGGCTCCATTTTATGACCCAAGACCTGCCTCTTGGGCTGCGGAGGCTTCTGGGATTTGTAGTCCTGCCCCGTGTACCCTACTGGCCTGGCACTTTAGTACCCAACGTTCCATTTGGCCTGGAGAGATGTCTTCTGGGAGTTGAAGTCTCACTCTCAGGATCCCCAAGAGGTAGTCCAGTCCCGTAGAACTACGACTCCCAAATGCCCTCCCTTCATGGCTGCTTTCTTTATCCATCTGCTTAATTAAGATGGGGCTAAAGGTAAAGGGTTAGAGAAGATACGCCCATGTCTTTTTCTCCCCCTCTGATTGCATATGCTATGCAAAGTATTAGGTATGGAGTTTTTGTTAATGCATGTTTACATGGTCTTCAAATAATTCTGTGTCTTCCATAATAAAAAGCTTGAGAAGATGGCCGAGATGGCTGTCATGGTTTCATAGCAGTAGCAAAATTGTGCTATAGATTCATTTATAATTTAAATTCCTTTAGAGCTATATGGTAGAATTTTTTTTTTTAAAAAAAAATATAAGTTCTGGGTTTGTAGCGCCTTCTGTTTGCTAGTTTGTTTCTTCCTAGCAAAAGAACCTACCTCACAGAATGCATTCTGAGACTCTGGCCTGTTGGAGTATAGAATACAAAACCTTTCAATTGCACAATGGCACTTCTGTAATTAGACACTAAATGCTAGTGTTGCAAAACCTTTTGAGCTTTTTAATGTCCACGGCAAGGAGTTCAGAACAGTTGCTGGCAGTAGAGGTTTCAAAAACTGTAGCTATATATAGCTTGAGTGCGTCTTTATTTCAGTGATGAGGAAGCTGGTCCCTGAGGCAGAGCCATTTGCCTGGGGTCACGTTGTTGGTTTAAGACAGAGAGGAAACTACTCCCCAGAATCTTACTTGTAAAAGCAATAAGCTAGAAGGCACAGTAAATGTATAGCTATCTGGATAATGCCATCCTCCGTGTTCCCAAGATTTGTTCTTTAGAGGCCCGAGACTAGGGCCAGTTGAAGTAAAGTCTTTTTTTCTCATGACTAAAGTTGTCCAATTTCATCAATTCAACAAATCCCGAGAAACATTTTAAACATATAAAGATGTGCTCATCTCTTCAGGTGCAAAGGCTCTTTAAATGACAGGTGCCCCGTGGGCTAGAGCTGGATGTTCTCAGGAATCATCCCTGTCGTTTTCATTCTGTAGAGAAGTGGGCCAGCAGTCTTCTTCTCACGCCTTGGGTCAAAGAGAGGGTTTCCTGAGGCTTCACAGGGCTGATTCGCCAGAGGCCTGCTGGCCTCCTCTTCATGTCCCTACTCCACATCCCTCCTGCAAACATCTGGTGGCGTGTGTTAGGGACGTTTCCGTATTCTCATCTTAACAAGCAGCTTCGCTGTGTTCCATTTCTATTAGTTTTGACTTGGTTGCCAGTGCTCCTTTGTTCCTCCGGAGAGGAGAGACCTAGTGTTTGGTGCTGTGTTTACCTTCACAGAGATCACAGACGCTCTGTATGAGGTACTAGAAATGTCCAAAGCTGTGTGTGTTTCCCAGAACTTTGGTTCGAGAAGACACACGGGCCCTTCAGTTATGTATTCACAGATATGTAAGCAAGCACCTCTCACCTTTTCCCGTGTGAGAGATGATTTCTGGATAATTAGAGAATGACATCACAGCCTTGAAAATCACTGACTCAATACTCAGAGCAACTTGCTATGCACGAAGCTCTTCCCAGCCTTCTGCGTGGCCTCCAGCACCCTCCCCAGTGGTAGGCTGGTCCTGCGCCACCCCGCAGGGCTGACCACTAGAATACGAGAGCAGGTCTGTGGATTTGCATTCATTAGCACCCCTGAGCTCTGCTCCCCGGGCATTTTTCAATCTCGCTTGTCTCTTCTAAGGTAGAAACGCAGCTTTGAAAGATTAGATGTAGGTTATGTTACTTTCAACGTGAACACGGCAGAGAGACATCTCAGCCTCCGAGGTCATCTTCCAAAGGGTTGTATGTGGGCATGTCCGTGTCTTTGACTTCTCAGATGAAACGGCATCCAGATTAAAGCAACACATCTCACGGCATCTCAGTCACGTGGCGTCCTGGGATTTAAATCCCAGCTCTTTCTCTGAGGCTTCTGTGAGGCTTGTGTCATCTCTGCATTTTTGCCTAATGGGGTGAAGATAAGAAGAGAGTTTCTAACTCTGAGCATGCTTCCCAGGCTCCCAGGAGCCTGCAGTAAATAGATAAATAAGATGTCTTAGTTTGTCATTGTCTATGTAAACTTGATATGTGAAAGCAAAATAATTTTTTTATTTATCCTCTTAAAGGAGGAAAGGCGGGCCATCATACGTAAAGTACAATATTTTTATCGCTCTTGAAAACCCGTCTTGTCATTGCAGTGGTATTCTTACGGGCAGGGAGATGGCAAAGACTGCATGTGAGAATCTCCTGCTGAGAAGCCTGACCCATGGCTCCATGCAGATATTAAATTTAGACTGAGGAGCAGCTGGTTTGTGTCAGTGAGGCCTTTTGTCTACCTGTGAAAAGGAGGAAAACCCGTGCCAGGGTCCTCAGGGTTCAGCAGAGGCAACTGTCCTCCAGCTGGTGAGTAATTCCGGGGCAGCAGCTGGTGGCTTGTTGCTAAAGTTGATGGTGCTGATAAAGACATCATTATCTGTTATTCAGTGATAGAGAAGGAGGACCAGAAATGAGGATCACGGCCAAACGAAGAAGGAAGGACTAAGTGGACAAAGGAAAGGTCTCTAGGGTCCTAAACACTGAACACACGCAGAACGTGTGCTCCTGGGTCCCCTAGGCCCTCTGCTACGTAGCAATTGTAGAGAGCTATGAATGTATACATCGGAAGGTAGCCATGGTGGTGAGTGGTGGATATTCTAGAGGGAAGAAGGAAAGTGCCGGGATTTGGGGAGTGGAATGGAGGTCTGGGTACCCAAGCGTGATGTCCACTGACTACGGAAGCTGACAAGGTGAGGATGCACAGACCAACACAGACGGCTGTGCTGCTTCGTTTCTGTCTCCTGGACACAACCAGTGTGAGCCAGGGAGAGGAAACCTTAGCTGGGAACTTGCCTCCATCAGATTGGCCTGTGGTTGGTCTGTGGAGGCATTGTTTTGATTAACAATTGACGTATGAGACCCAGCCCACTGTGGGTGGTATCAACCCTGGACATGTGATCCTCTGTTATAAGGAAAAAAGCTGAACAAGCCACAAGAAGCAGGCCAGTAAGCATAATCCCCCTAAGGACTCTGCCTCAGTTCCTGCCCTCCCGTGAAGGACTGGAACCCTTAAGAGAAAATCAACGCTTTCATCTCTGTGTTGTTCATCACCGCAATAAAAAGAAAACAAGGACAATAATGTTCTACACTGTCCAGCCTCTGCGAGAGTCTTGAAATTTATTCCAAGGGAATTTGGGAAATCACCTACCAGTCTCAAGTGAGGAATGAAATGTTTGCATAGTTTTAAAAGTATAGATCCAATGGGTAAGGAAAATCAGTGTCAGGCAGTAATTAATGTAGAAAAAAATATCTACAAATGTGCTTGCTGCTTCCTCCTGACAATTTCATATATGATGAACTTTTGGTCAGAGAGAGAGGCGTTATTGTGTTTAATTATGGCTAGTTGCATGAGTGTGAATGAGGGGTATTTATTAGAGCATTGGCAGTTTATCTGGCTTTACCATAGAGGAAAATGACACCTCACCCCATAGCAAACGTTAATTTCCGAAAGTTGTCCAAGGAGAGGTGAGGTCTTATGAACCCCTCACGTGTTCCTGCAGACATGCTGCTGATGGGCCCAATCTTGTCATCTTATGTCAGTCATGTGGAGGTAATCCCATGAGTTCATTAGTGTAACAGCCATGTTTTATCAAGCTGACATCTTCCTGTGTAGCATTCATTCTTCCCATAACGCCCTCTGCTGCGATGTTCCTTGAGCCTTGAAGGGCTGATATACATAGATCTGTGGTTTTTGGACATTGGCGTGTGCCTTTGTCCTTCAATTTGGTAGATAAGCACAGACCAGAAGACTAGTCTGTCTAATAGGCTCTTGCTACTGCTTCATGACTTGTATTCCGCAGAGAAAGGATTCAGGCAGTTCTTAGGTGGTTTGGGAGAGCTGGGATGAGAGTAGGTGAGAGGAGGGACCCCGTCTCAGTCACTGTTCTATTGCTGTGACAAAGCACTATGAGCAAGG